GTGGCAGCTGGTACCTCTGAGCCCACTGACTCCCCATCTGAGCTGTGGCTCGACAGCTCAGTGGGCTCTAGTTTTCCGGCTGGCGAGAGGAGTTAGTGGGCCTGGCCACAGTGGAAGACAGACCAGCAGCAGGCCGAGCACGGACCCGTTCCCCGCCACAATCCCTGGCGATGTGACCAGGCTGGTGGCAACGATGGCAAGTCACAGGGCCATTACGAGAAGGTCGAGCTGGCGGAAAGGAAGACTTCATGGAGGCGACAGTGTGGGTGAGTTGATTGAGTTGCTCCTGCTGACGCTTTAACAGCTCTTTTAACTCACCAAACCCAGGGTCACATGAAGAGGCAGGAGGAGCTGGCCGAGAACTGCCCTGCACCCCATACTGCAGACCATACATGGATGGGAGGGAGTGATTGCGTTCCCGTGCGCCCCCTGGGAACCCCTCCCTCTCCCAGCGCATGCCTTCCCCACACACATCCAATAATGTAGCAGCAGGTTGGCGGCGAACAAACTGTTTCAGCTCCCGGCGAAGAGCACTGTCTAAAACATGTTCCACGAACTGGTCGTGAAGTAGGACCTCTACGTTAAGCGAACACTCCGGTGCGCACTGTTTCACCTGCTCCATGAGAGCCATGAGGGCCAAGGAGAACTCCAAGAGCGTTTCCCCCTCCTGCTGCTTCCTGGAAAAGAAGGCCTGTTGCAGCATCACATATGATCTCACACAGCCAAACAACTCTGTCAAGATAGCTAATATTTTAGCTGGGTCACTTCTCTCAGCGCTAGAGCGATATTTTATCTCCTCTCTGGCCTCACTGTCCAGATGGTCAAAGATAAAGAACGCTTGGTCAGCAACCGACAGATGGCGAGCGCGAATGCACGCCTGAACCTCCTCCACCCACTACCAATGCCAGTCTTACCGTTGAACATGGGGCATCGCTGGTCCCTGGGCACGACCACCAACCGCTCAGTGACAGTTGGGCCAGCAGGCAGGGCACCACCCGCCATGGCAGGAGAGACAGAAGCAGCCACACTGGAACCCGCCTGGGGGGCAACACCCTCCTGAAGCAGCTGCTCATTTTCTGCCCTTAGCTGGGCCACCAGGTCTCTAAGCTGCTGCATCTCCTCCTCCATAACTGAAGGAGGCAAGCTGCACCAAAGCTCCACACCAAATTGAGTCCTGAAATCACAGGCAGGTTAAATGTCTGGACAACTACTGCTGTCTTGTCTCTCAACACACTAATACAATATTTGACAGTCTCCCACTAATAGAATATTTAAGAGTGAATAAAAAAAATGTTAATTTAAAAAAAAAAAAAAAATTAAGTCTGTGTCTAGGAGTGCATCCTGCCGACAACGCCAAAATGTGGCGAGAGGGGTTTAGTAAGGAACAGAATGAATTAATAAGTTACTTTTTAGTGCTACACGACAACGCCACCTGGGGGAACTTTGCCCCCAGGAAATTAATTAAGGACGCAGGTCTGAATGCACTCAGACAATAGACTCAGAATGTAAATTTAAGATATAAAAAAATATATTTTTATTTTATATTCAATTATTTAAAAAAACGATTAAACAATTCAACAATTACGTTAGCTTTTTCAATGCTGCAACACTTTAACCACAGATACTCTTCACAACAGGTACTTTAGCACATGAGGGGTGGACGTTTTGAAAAGAAAAAGAAATAAAACAATCAAAACAAAATATTTATCAAATAAAACAAGCAAGCAAAATACTTAATCAAATAAAACAATCAAAACAAAATATTTATCAAATAAATCAAGCAAATCAAAATATGTGAACACAAGAGAACAAAACCAGCACACAAGAAAACAAAAGCAAATCATTTAGTAATGCACTCAAAAAAGAAAAGAAACATGCAAACTCAATCAAAAGGAAATTAATCAGAATCCCCAACTACATATGATTGGCACAGATGATTGATAACTTGTTCGAGCATACAGTGACAATGAAAAACAGCAAATTATAGCGCGTCACTGAAGGTGATCATCAACGAGACGGGAATAAAACAGACCTGTGGCGATATCACAGCCACGACCAGATGGGAGCAAACTTAACAAGACACAGACAAGGCAGTAGTAGAGTCCCGGTGCACCAGGGCGTAGAGCCAGGGAATGGTGCACCGCAGCGCGCAGTGAATGGAGCACCGCGCGCACAGCCAGGCCCAAACGTGCCACGGAGCATCAACACAGCTCCCGCCAGAGAGGAGAGGGAGAGCAGCAGGCCGCGGTTAAACGCTGCTGAGAGACCAGGAAAAGTAAAAGTTAGCAGCCAGCCGGTAAGCCGAGTTACAACTGCCGATTAGGTGAGCAGACATACCTGAGGAGAGTGAACCAAACAGGACGGGTCAACAGCACAGACAACTCCGGTTCCTCACAGCCAGCAGACCAACCCACTGCAAGGCACAATAAAGAGCAGGTGTCATGCCCAGAGACCGCAAGATATCCCAATACCACCAAGCAAGACGGACTTACAATTTTGGAGCGGTGGAGAAGATCCAGCACATCAGCCACGCCAACTGTCACACGGTTCAGACCACACACAGCCCCACACCACACATGAACGCCAGCTTAGAGGGAGACGAGAGCAAACTGAACAAAGAAACACCTGAACAGCTATAGTGCTGGCGGCTCCGCCCCGCAATCAGCAAAGGACCCACACCTGATGTGGATCAAGCAAGAAGGAGGGGGAAGGGACAGACAGAAGACCATCCTGCTACATATAGTATAGCCTCTAATATATTGTAAGACACATTCCTCGTCACCTCAGTCAGTCAGTCCCACGGCACAGTCCATTCAAATGAAAATTTAATTTTAGCCTTTTCGTAAAGCACACACTGTATAAAGCTGGGTTTATTTGCATACAAACAATCCTAGCCAGCTAGCTGAGCTGGCTAACTCATCAATTTAGCTGAGGCTAACTGAGCTACTCAGCAGGACAAAAGTAGCAAACCTGCTCAAAAATTGGCTAACATTATAGCTACCCCCTCCACCCCACAAGTGATTCTGTATCATTAAAGGTGTAATTTGTAAGATTGTGCTACTTGCTCCACATCCATAGGGGGCAGCATTTCAGCATTTCAGCATTTCCTGTCCAGTTAATCATGTTGTTGTTTTCCCCATGTTCCTTATAATTTATCATTTATATGTGCATTTATTGTTGATAGTTAAAATTGTTGATAGCACTGAAACAAATTATGAGAACTTGTAATACAAACAGTATATTTGTATTATAAAATAATAATATACCTATAAAAATATGAAGGCAAGGGGATACTGCATGACACATTGGGTGTCAGGCTACAGCAGCATGGGGAAGGGATGATGACATCATCACAAAGGCAGAATGAGAAAATAAGGTTTATTGCCAGGTAGGTTTTTACTTACAAGATAATTGGCTTCATGTTTGGTGCAGTATCCAATAAACATATTAACAGGAAATAACAATAAAAAGGTAAAATACTGCAACAGTCAAAAATATAAATATACATAGATGCACATATTAAAAAATAAAACTGAAAAAAACTGTACAAAAGTGTTGACAAAACCCCTGCTGAGCAGGATGTGCAAAAGATCACAGTATAGACAATATCTGTTCTGTACAGGGATAATACTCCAAGGTGTTACTGTAATGTGGTTGTTGATGATTGATGAGGCCAGGTGCATTAGAAAAGGCAGGTGCTGGTCCATCACTGGGAATGACTGGATTGGAATTCTGGTCCTGATACAGACAAACATGTGATAGGACAATTAGTTTAGATCATACAAGTTCTTTATATTCAAACATAGGTCTGCTTTGTGTGTATAATAAATATTAGGGATAGATATGAATATGCTCAAATAAATACAATATTAGGCAGTGGATCCTGAACCTGCTGGTTATGGATCAAACAGTCTCTTTGTCTTACTTGTAAAAAAAGTTATTGACACATCTAGCTGGTCAACAGCCCAGGAACAGGCTAAATTCTACTAAGTCGCTGTCTGTCAACATCATCAATCATACATTTATGCCACTTGAAGTGTTTGTCGGTACGGTTTGTCATCTACACTCAAGATACTTTTTGCTGTAGCAAAAAGTATGAGTGCAGATGACAAAATTTTCTCGGCATCGAGCTCGGCATCAAACTGCATCTCTTTACCCGGAGCTGTCTCCAGCGGTATCATAAAGTAGTATTAAAACAATACCTGGGACAAAGCTAGCTGGTTAGCATGCTCATTTCAGTAGATATCTCTGAAATACAATTGATGGAGGTCTTGGTCATGACACCATCTGTTACTCCTTCACATACTATTGATAGTGTAAGTTCATTTTTTTAACATTTTAAACTAAAATTCCCATCCCAGCCCATCATACCTGTCGGTAGACATCACTCATGGTGTGACAGGGTAATGATGACTTTGACTTGATTACACCACAAACACAAGCCACAGCTTCCCTGTCAATGCAGCTTAGTTTTGTTTATATCCTAGATTTAATTTTTGAAATTATAAGTGCTTCACTAAATATGATGGGGCTTGGCTGGCTACAAATAAAGACAGATAATTTAAATTCTCCCCAAATGTATTGAGGCTGAACTTGCAGCTTGGGGCCCCCTAGTGGCTGCGGGGGCTCTATGTATCTGCATAGACTGCATATAGCAAGAAATGGTTCTGGGGTCCCCTTTAAATAAAGTTGGTGTAAAAGACAAAGCCTAGAGTACATGCAGTTGGATTGTTGTAGTACTGCAGTCCTTATGAATTCTCTTTCAACTTCACATCTTACATTGGTTACAAAGGACGTTTTTTGACAGCCCATGAATCTACAACCAGAAGCCAGTAAGCTTAGCTTAGCACAAATACTGGAAATGCAGCTACCCTGGCTCTGTCTGAAGGAAACAAAAACCATCTACAAACACCTCTAAACAAATGATATAACGTGCATTTATGAGCTTTAATCAGTGTAAAAGGTTGTAACAAGTGAACAAACACCATATTGTTGTTTTACACAGGGTATGTGCTGGGCTATTTCTTGGTTCAACAGAGTGACTTCTGCTTACTACTGAGCTGTAGAGCTGCTGGGAGGTGGATTTTCTTACCTGTGGACAGATCTGTACTAGCTATTTTGCCATGTCCAATCTTTATGCTAAGCTAAGCTAAAGGCAATGGTAGGTTCATATTTAGTGTACAGACATGAGAGTGGAAATTGTGTGAATATAAACACTCAAGTATTCCTTCATTTCATTGCAGAGTTAGTGTCTATAGTTTTCTAAAGACAGCAGTTTTTATTTGAATTTGCAGACAAAAACAAAAATACACAGTTAGCGTCTCTGTGCAAAATCTGATACTGGTATCAGGTATGCACACAATTTATCATAATCCTACAACAAGTGCTGTTTTATTAAACCATTTGTTCAACTCCAACCACAAATCCTTCAAGTCCTCTCATGTGGAAACAAAAAGACAATCAATCAAGACAATCAATTCAATCAATCTGGTAACATTTCCTACAAAAGATAACACTAACACACATACAGGAGAGCAAATTCAACCACCACACAAAAAGCCTGAAAACACAACATCCAAAGCTCTAAAGTTTTATATTTCCAATCAGCCTTCAAGCATTCAAAGAAAAAAAAACACCTGAAGCAATCTCAGTTCTTAACTTTAACTCATGAAGTTAACTGACAGTCATTGCTTCCAACTATAGGTGATTCTGTATTCACACATTTGTAAAGGAAAAAAAACAAACACACATTTCACATTGTTACACACTGTTTGATTCCAGTTAAAGTTTGGAAAGACCATACTGTACATATTCTTAATGTGCTGGGCCAAAGGAAGAACATCAGCTCCCTCACCTCACCACTCTGAAGAAGCACAGAACAAATGATATGTACATGAATGAGCTCTGCTGAAGGGATTCAACCCAGCAGAGCTGTTTGAAGTCACTAAATGTACCCCATCCAACTCAACTTAACAGCCACTTTAAGCAGTCTTTTGTAAAGACCTGTGTCCTGTGTGATTTTAGAAGAGAAAGACAGTGAGTGAAGCATTTTTAACTTCAGTCCTCTGTATGCTTCAAACTAAGAATTCATTGGATCATCATCAATATGAACGTGTAGAAATACGATGTAAAAGAAACACTATTTACCACAATATTACAGCCTCTAGATTTCACCTATTTTTTTCACTTTTTAAAGGAATGGACATGCATTTCTGTGTAACTGGTTTTCATTTTCTTCAATCACAGAAAATCCACAAACACACATGTTGAAGTGCATGTGTTACCATGATTATCAAATTATTTGCTACATGCTGAAAGCCCATAAAGCCCATATCTAACTCTTAATTGCTGTGGTTGGTCTGTTTTCCTTTCACATCACAAATGAACAGCAGAGGTCACTTGAAACTGGACTGGGGTTGTTTAGCCGGAGTTTTCATGCCTACCAGCCTGCAGTCAAATGTGTTTGTTTCAAATCAACCAAACCAGATGAGATCTCCTGTCGTACGGCAGAATGGAAGAGTCTGACTTAAAAAAATGGACAATGTGATAATTATGCACAATTAATCCTGCAATCAGCAAGATATGAAAAGGTTTCAAAGGGCTTGAACGAACTAGTTCATTGAAGCACACTGAGACCTTCAGTCTGACCACAGGGTTCATGGGACACAGAAAATCAACTAGCATCTTCAGGACAACAAACAACATCAGGGAAGTTGTTTGACCATCAAGACAACAATTCGTGAAAGAAGTGAAGGTCAATTGTAGGAAACAGTTACATTTTATGTTGAATAAATGGTCCCTGTGTCCTGTAACTTTACGTTTAGACATGTAGGGGAATGTTTTTCTGCTTTCAGTGGTCATCTACTCATCTACAGCTGGTTACACACACGGTACAGTAACTTGTGTATATATTCTCCAGTGATACTAACAAAAATAAACAAACAAACTAACAAAATAAATATTCATAAAAATGCGGCCAAAATTTAAGACACTTGGACATACATGAGCATAGATAATCACCTTGTACAAACATGAATGTGTAGATATGTGACTCCAATGCTAATGGCTTACTTGCTTATCTACTTAATGTAATTAGGTGTGGGCAAGGTGGATGATATCTCCTATCATGGCATATGTAAAGTGTTTTTCATAACTGATAATTAACATGTGTGTCACACATAAAACACCTGATGGAAATGTTAATACAGTGATGACAAAACAAGAGACTTCATCACATTTATCACAAGTGACATACAAATCTAATATTGTCACAAAACAGTTCTGCTAATGATTTGCAACACTGCCCACAATAAACTGCCTAATAAAACGAGACATATTAAAATGAAAAGATACCTAGGTATAAATGTTATGGTGACAGATTTATATTATGTTGTCATGTATCAACATTTTGACCAACCCTAACCTGAATGATCAGATTAGTTCTGCACAGGCCCAAACAGAGACCTGAACCTGTCTGGTACCCATATCTCTCAACTACCATTGCCAAATTTTGTGACCCAGACCAAAGAACCAAAGCTATGTTTTGTTTATTTGAGCTATTACTACTATTACTTTTGTTGGCTTGTCTGGCTATTACTAGGCATTGGCAACACTCTTGGGCATTGTGAATCTACTTGAAACATCTGACATGCATGAAAGCATGAATGCAGAGGATGGCACAGTGAGAGAGAGAAAGAGAGAGAAATTTCTTAAGAAATTACATTAAATTTGAAAATAACCAAACCTGGACCAAACCCAAGCCTAAAATCTTCAGGCTCAGTCACACCAGCATTTTGCAGTGACAGTTAATTTCAATGGAAATTCTGTAGTCAGTTTATTCACTTGTAATTAAATCCAGGTAAAACTTTTGCATCACGTTTAACTGTGGTGAACTTAAACATGCAAATTTGATGTCCCATTAGCTTGGGAAGCTGTTGTGACATAATAAGTCATTAGCTCACCAGATACAGTAGTTTATTGACGAGCCCTGCAAGTAGTGATAGTAGTGGTAGGACATGCAGAAAAGTTTGCCATCCTCGGGTGTGAGTGGGCAGCAGAACAGATCAGAGCCAAACCACCAACACTCAATCTCCCAGGAAAGTCTCATTAAAAGCAAGTAGGCTATATCAGAACTTAACACTGTTTAGTATCCAGCAAAAATATACAATAAATTCAACGTGGAATGTAAGACTTAACTGTCCTGGTACAAAGTGAACTGTGATGTGAATCTCCTCTTGTTCTAAACATATCTCTTTCGTCAACTCTCTTAAACTGATAAGCAAAGAAAGCACCTACACTGAAAGTAATACCACAGACAGGTGGTATCTGATGGTCTAATTCATGATAACAGAGGTCCCAGTCATAGAGAAGATTGGACCAGTCAGAGGAGAGATGGGCAGAAGGACTGAAAGTAAAAAGGTAGATGAGCAGAAATGAATGTCTCTCTTCCCATCTGTGCTCCTCTTTCTTCATCCATTCTTCTTCTCTGTCTCCTTTTTTCGTCCTTCTTCATGACTTCATTTCTTGTGTCAGTAGTGTGTGGAGTACCAGTCATTGTCGGTCATCTGAACGAGCTCATTGACCACGTCCAGCAGGTTATAGTTGTGTTTCTTCAGCAGCCGCTGGTTCAGCAGCCGGTCCCCAAAGCCCATCTCCACCAACACGGCCATCATGGTGTCCTGGGTTGACGCATCGACTGGAGGCTGCATGGGAACAAGATCTGATCAGTCCATAAAACCTGCTGTTGATTATATGAAAACAAATGTCTCACTTGTATGTGAAAAGACCAATTTAACATTTGACTGTTTGCCCCAACTTCAAACAGCAACTATCTAAACAGGAGGGACATTAAGCAGCGTTGCTTAAAGGGGCAGCTACAGCATGATGCCATGACGTAGATTCTCTGTCAACACTTCCTACCATTGCAGCCCAGCTGTCTAACATGGGAGAAAGACTAGTCTACCCTGTGAATGTATTTATACATTTTTTTGCATTATTTGATACTGTCATTTGGTTTATATTCAATTATACCGGTAGTAGTACCAGTAATAATTTTATGGATTATGAGTATATTTGTATATTTGTTAGATATACCTGCTGATTTGACAGATTTTTGCAGTTCATTCATAGGCCTGGCTATGAGCAGCGCTCAAGATGCTGAGATGCAACCACAGTAAGAAGCAAGCCAGGCTAATCTTCCAGTAGGCGATTACTTTTTTTTTTTTCTTTTTTTTTGTGTGTGTGTTGGGGGGGTCCTTGAAATCCTTTGTTAAGAAAAACTGTTGTTAAGCTTAAAATTAAGGAGCAAAAATGTAAAAATTGATTAAACTTATTTGCTCTAATGTTAGATATTAATGATAGCATATTCAGTTAATTAACATAGCTACAGTAGTATTCCAGTATTACTTGCAAGGCCAGAAGCAAACCATGCTGCAATTATTTGGAATTACAGATTTTTAAAAGAAAACATAGGGCATCTACAGTGTGGGAAGTTATCTTCCCGTTATGTGGAAACTTGTTCTGTATGTACGCCTCATCTATTTGATCAGAGTTTAGGCTACCATTAGCAGCTCTGACATACTCAAAGTAGTGAAATATTTGCCAAACAAGTGCCCCTAAAAGTGTCGCCCTGTAGCTGTCCTTTCTATGTGTCATAAACAGACAAAATCCATAATCTATGGCAAGAGGAAAATACAGATTGGCCTTGGTATCCATAGATACCTTAAATTAGAGGGCTCAGATTGGGATCATGGAAAAAAAATTTTTTTTAGGTGCATCCCTAGTCTGAGCACTTTAAGAAGAATGCCTTGACTACACAGATATAAAATATGAATTATGAAATAAGATTATTAGATAAACTACTTGCTGACCTGTGTGGGGCCTTGTCCAGTGAACAGGGCTTTGTAAGCAGAAGCAGCTACTGACAGAGCTCCCTTCACCAGGCCGCTGGTGATACCTGGGTGCCTGAGGAGAGACAAACATCTAAAATGTGACATCTGCTGTGAAAGCCTTGGTATTTCAATAGAAAACCTGAATGGCCACTTCACTTGCAGGGGCCAATAAGCCTGTAAAACATCTTCCCCATCATAACCTCCCAGACATGTTGCACTGGCTGTGTGTCCCATTTCTAAGCTGGGGTTGAGGTCATGTGGTCATTACTGTGGATTCAAATTTGTTATATATAAACTTATACTGTAAAACTGAACCACAGCTATAGACAATAACTGAATTAGTATTAGTAACCAATTTGAGCTTGTAAATGATAACAAGTGACTTCATTCCTTGGACCCATTTATGGAATCAACATTTTAGATATTTGTTTCTCTTTCACAGAGGTGGTGGATGTCACATGACTCTAATGACTTGACTCAAGTCAGTCTTAAGACACAAATCTGAGGACTTAAGACTTGCTTGACTAAAACTGATAAAAGACTCAACTTGACTTTGACTTGGTATCATGACTTGAGACTTGACTTAGACTTGAGACAGAAAATTTAAATGGACTTGACTTTGTTATTAAATATTTACATTTTCTAGATGTTTTTCAGATAAGGTAAATTTTTTTTTAAACACGATTGAGTGATTTCTAGTGCAATGGCTGAAAACCAGCTCTCATAGGGAGGGGCTAAATCACAGAATTACTAAAATTAAGATTGCAGGAGGAAAGAGAACATAACACAGTGCCAGTTCCACATAGAGATGTATTGTTATAGTAATAATGAGAAAAGTTCAGCTCAGTAGAGTTCATATCTCCACCAAGGCCAAACAATCCTACACATTAAAAAAAGTAATAAAACATTTCTTGGATCCACCAGATCTGCACCCCTGGCCCCTCCCCCATCCCTCCACCAAGTTTGGTGCAGATCAGTTCAGTACTTTTTGCAGACGAATCACCAGACAAAGGTGAAAACAGAACGTCCTTGATGGAGGTAATTATAATAATGATCAGACTAATAATAATAATTATAGTAGTTGATGGCTGCAGTCACAGAGCTGGACTCTACATTTCCACAAAATGTCAAATATCAGTCAGATTTAAAGGTTAAAGCAGCTGCAACAGTTTTCGTTAATGTTGAAAGTAAAATTAAACTTTTCATGACCTCTGTCATTAAATGATTAAATTTGGTAACTGGAGCCGATCATCAGGATTTCGTAAAATTTGACTTGTGACTTCCTTGATCTGAGAGATTTCTTGCACTTACAGCAGCGACTCAACTTGCTTGATTCTGACCACAGTATCTTGGGACTTTCTTGTGACTTGCATATGTGTGACTTACTCCCACCTCTGCTCTTTTATATAGTGTTAAGGCCTGCTCACAGCCACATTCAAAATGCCAAGTATCACAGCGAACTCCAGTGGCATTACTGCAATTAGTAGATATACACAACTTCAAATTCAGTGAACTTGAAATGAATGCCATTTAACAATATCCAGCCATCTTGCCAGTGATGACTATACACAGAATGGTTACATACAAAACAGGAAGAAGCTCAGGGAGCTATTGTGACTGACTAGCGCTAGCATGTACTGAATTGCTAGCATCTTAGTGGTCGCCAGCTACAATATTTCAACCATTATCAAGCTATTAGAACTAAATATTAGGCAAAGATATGCAGATGACCAGGTCTTGATTACAACAATTACATTTACACCAAGTGAAATGATTTCATTATCATATGCTGGATGACACCAGACATAGGCTAAAATGTACAGTACTTCTTTTATTATAAAATATATTGTGTTATATATTATTATACATTATCCATAGTAACATAGTTTGTGTGTGCGCATGCGTGCATGTTTGCATGTGTGCGTTTGTGTGTGTGTGTGTGTGTGTATGTGTGTGTGTGTGTGTGTGTGTGTGTGTGTGTGTGTGTGTGTGTGTGTGTGTGTGTGTGTGAGAGAGAGAGACCTGGGGTCCTTAGGGTTGTCCTCTATGTCCTCAGTAGCTTCAGTATCATCTGTCTGAGTATGTTTGGGACCAGAGGCTGTGACACAACAGACATCACATTATCCCGGACTCAATCACACATCCATCCAGTTTAAAAACATACAGTCTGTAATCATGTCTATATGTCTCAACAAGTGTCTGTATCAATATAAATAAGAAGCTAAAAATAGCTGCTAATGTGTCTGTAGACTCTCTAGAGCACATTGGACAAGTGGACATTTCCTATTCCCTTTAAAAGCCAGGCGTCTGCACCTTGGCAGATTGCTACTATAATGATGGATGTGGTACAAAAAAAAAATTCTCCACATAAGAAACGGATCTGCTTGTGTGCAAAATGAAAGCATGCATGTAGTCTACCTCAACAGTAGGACCCCACCAAACAGGCCCACCTGCAAAATACTAAAGGTACGGGGGTGCAATGCTTTTGCATCATGAGTTTAATATTCTGAACCCTCAGTTGAAATTTGAATAATAAATGCTGAGGCATCTCCATGTTATATCAAGTTATAACTGATCAGTCTGGTGTATGTAGAGGTGTTTGGGTATAGTGTAGCTAGGTGTGGTTTTCAAGCGATTTAATGAAAGTAAACACAGTAATGGCTCTGCACGACACTCTATGGAACACAGATTGGTCCAAAACGTCTCTTTTGACATCTATGTTAATATGTCAAATTTGCATGTGTTTAGAGGACCGAATATGACATGTCATCACCTTTTTATGGGTTTTAAATTTGGGTGCTACCACCATCATTTCAAAAGAAGAAACAATTCCCCATTCAACCTCAAATTGAATTGAGGTTAGAATTATTGACATTATTAATAATAATATTCATACATATACCACATATATATATATATATGCATTTTAATAGGCTGCTACTTATTTAGAAAAATGTAACTTCAATATCATAATAAACATATTCATTTAATGTGGTGTGTTTGTTAAAGTGCCCACTAGAAGGCAGTATTAGAGCACAAATGGCGACCCAATTTTGAGAAGCAGGAGGAAAGACAGGACAGGACAGGAATGAGATTCTGCAGAGGATGATAGAGCAGGTGAGGGGGCGGAGCTGGAGTGGAGCAGGGAGCAGAGTGAGGAGCACACCTCAACCACTCAAATATACTTTATACAATATATACTAAAATACTTGAACTTAAACAGATGTCACTCAAACCCGCTCAAATTCACAGTTCAATATGTTGCATTGCCCAAGCTTGTCTTTCACAAGTTTAGGTGATTTATTTAGGAGTTTTAACTATTTCTTGATCCCTCCTCCGCACAAGTGCCAAATACTGATTCACAGTTGGGTATAAGACTGATTGGTACAGGAAAAAGGAAAAAGTATGTGAGCCCTTTGGAATGACCTGATTTTCTGCACTGATTTGTCATAAAATGTGATCTGATCTTCACCTAAGTCAAAAATGTAGACAAACAATGCAGCCCTAATCTAATATAACACAAACAATTATAATCTTTTGTGTCTTTATTGAACACAGCCATTAAACATTTACAGTGGTTGTGGAAAAATTAAGTGAACCATTGGATTTAATAACCTCAAACCGGCTCTTCCAGTAGCTGTTCAGGAGGAATTTTGGACTATTCTTCTTTAAAGAACTGCTTCAGCTCAGATATATTCTCAGGATGTTTGGTTTGCACTTCTTCATTCATTTTCCCCTTGATGACATGGAGCTGTCCAGGTCCAGAGGCAGCAAATCAGCCCCAAATCATGATGCTCCCTCCACCCTGCTTCACCTTTGGGATGATGATGCTGGGATGTAGAATGCAGTGCACTTTACACCACACATAGAGCTGCATGTTTTTCCCCCCAACAATTCAACCTTAGTTTCATCAATCCATGAAACATTTTCCCAGTACCATTGAGGACTGTAAAGGTGCTCTTTGACAACCTTCAGGAGTGCAACAATGTTTTTTGGAGAGCTTCCTCCGTGGTGTCCGTGGCAAGACACCATGCTCCATGGAACTATGCACCATGATGTTAACCAGCTCTAATGATTCCTTTAAGCCTTTAGCAGTAACACTGAGGTTCTTTGTTAACGTTACTGATCATCTGTTTTGTGCTGTTGGAGTCATCTCAGCTGGAAGTCCACTTCTAGACAGAATACCCACAGAACTAAATCATCTCCATTTATAGACAGTTTGTGTGACTATGGACTTATGAAGATCTAAACTCTCTAAGATGACTCTGTGACCCTTTCACATTTTTTGTGAGGCCTGGTTCACATCATCTGATGTTTGTTGTGAACAGCAAATTCTAAATGTCTTAGTCTTGTTTTTAAGTCAAAGTGTCTCTAACCCACACCTCCAATCTTGTTTCATTGATTGGACTCAAGGTTTGATCAATCCTGACTCCAGTTAGTTTCTGTTGATGCCATTAGCCGAGGGGTCACATACTTTTTCCAACCTGCACTGTGATAGTTTGAATGATGTTTTCAATATGTACAAGAACAGTTCATATTTAAGGACAAATTTATACATAAATGGAGGTAATTCCAAAGGGTCCACTTACTTTTTTGTGCCACTGTACTTAGCCCAAATGTACACACTTCCAAGAGCCAACATGATCACAATGTAGGCATACATACTGTACAGCTCAACATATCCCCTTTGTCATTAAGGGGTGGGTATGTTGATGCCAACCAACCAATGTCTTAAGACGTGCAAATTTGACATATTAATGCAGATGTCAAAATAGACTTTTTAGACCAATCCACATTCCATAAAATTCAGCAGAGAGCCGTACAATTATGTCAGGATGTGTTCTTAAAATAACAGTGAAATACTGCGCCACTGACTTCAGACCAGGTTTTTGCTGGCCAATAGTGAAACTGATTTCTGCTGCCTCAAGATAGCAATACGCCAACAATGCACCTGACCGCACCTCATTTTAAGAACAACACCCACCCAGCTCAGATGATCATATCAGATCAGAGTGTATTCGTTTTTTAAACAACATGGGTGCTGGATGGGAAAATGACTTTTGCATCAGTTTGAACCTAGCAAAGACACTTGTGTCACACTTGGTGCCACTTTGTGCTGGATGTATAAGAGTGCCCTAAGTGTTGTTGATGTGCTTACCATACTCATTTTGGTATAGTTCAGAGCCCTCTGTTCCTTCCCCAGCAGCAGCAGCATCAACATCTGTTTCTCCACTGCTCTCTGGACTGTACAAAGTCAAGAGCAAGACATTTTCAATCATTTACAACTAGTGCAACAAACACTAAACGAAAAAAAAAAGGAAGGTGAGAAGAGCAGAGTGATGAGTATGACATGACTGTTGCTGTACTGTTGGAATTAGTGCTGTGGAAATGGACATCAGACGACAGGTAAACATGGAGGAAGTGGTGGTTTAAAAAAACAGTGAAATAAGAGCTGGTCAGAAAGCTTAGAGGCTGATACAGTCAACTGATATAACAGAGTTAGATATAAAGGGCCTGTCTTGAATATCAGACTGTCTGTACCTCACCATTCATACCGACCTTGGTGTGAAAATGGCTTTAGGTGGTGCCACCACTTCAGGTGTGAGTGGCTCATCATCCAATGTCTGAGATGTACACAGCATGTCATTGGCACTACTGGTACCCGACAACTCTGTCCCTGGAGCTGCAGTGGCTTCATTCGCATCACCTTGCTCCCCCTCCACAGTACTGACTGGGGGGTCAGAAGATGAAGTATCTGGGTCTGTGGTGGTCTTGACGGGGATGTCACCAGGCTGGGACAGAGCAGAGCTGCAACAGGATGAGAGGAGATTAAAGGGAAGGAAACATCCGCCATCCAGAGGACGGATTCTCTTACCTCATTTTTAAATTAAATAAAAGCCACAGTTGTGTATGTTTATTGTAAATGTAACTAGTTTTTACAGGCACCACAAATTCCCATGACACATACCTGTACATGGACTCCCCCAGTGGCCGACTGGTGTCAAAGCAGTCAGGGAGGATTATGATGTAATCCTCTGAAGAGGTGGAGGAAGAGCGACTTCTTGTCCCCTCTCTCTTGTCCACTCCCTCTTTCTCCTTCTCGTCCTCTGGCTCCTTCTCTCTCTCCTTCACCCTGGGCTCCACACAGATGCTCTTCATGTGGGACTCTTCAGCCTCATCTGTAATGGGGTCAAGACAATGAAGAGTATTCACTGACAATATGGGGGATGACAATATAGCGGAGAATATTGCTATAAAATGTTAAAGTATAAGATTGGCTGTTTTAGTCAGAACACATGGACTGGACTGTGAGCCATTCAGATGAACTCAATAACATTTTGAGGAAGATGTTTATTCACTTTTTTTTATTTTACTAAGAATGAGATCAACATCGATTTCATGTCTATTAAGAGCTGAATTGCGGATGTGGTTATCCTAGCTTAGCATAAAGACTAGAAGCAGGGGAAACAGCTAGTCTGCCTCTGTTTAAAGTTCACAAATACACTGACCAACACCTGTGATGTTCACTCATCAACAAGTTAAAGCATCTTGTTCGTTTGTTTAACCCATACATGAGCAGAAATTAAAATTTACATGCAAGAACAATTTCTTGATGAGCAACAGTTTATCTCAGAGTACCTCTGTGGAGTGTCTCTGGATACAGTGCAGGTTGCCAGTCAGTGAACACAGGTTTTGGTTTTGGCACAGTGGTACTAAACCTGACAACATCGTTGGACCCCATGCAAAACACTGCTCCCTGATGTAGTTTGTCAACAAATAGTTCCAGTATATAAATAAAGACCACAGTTTCTTGTTTTTACATTTCTGTATTTGTACAGATTAAATCATCCAGATAGCACGTGTTAATAAATGAGATTGTTATTCATCTCCTGATCTAAGTCTTGGAAAGAAACACAAAATGCGTCATTCCCAAGAAGTTAAAATGTTCCTTTTCAAGTCAAAAAAATACTGATTACCTCAACCAAGAAGGTTATGTTTTCACCCATGTTTGTTTGTTTGATGGTCAACAGGATTACATGAAAAGTACTAAACCGATTTGCAAATTTGATGGGGGGATGGAGCATGTGCCAGGGAAGAACCCATTATATTTTGGTACACATCCTGTTAAAGGGTTGGATTCAGGACTTTTTGATCATTTTCCTTAACACTGTGAGATACAGCATGTTTCCACTTTTTCATCAATCTCTCAGGAATAATGTTTGCTGTAACAGAAGTTAATGAGTAAAACTAAAAGACTGAATCGAGCAGAAACACTGAAGCTTTGAGTAGCAGAATGAAAATGAGGTGAGCAGCAGATTGAATATGTATCTGACTAATCAAAAGACCATTGTAGATTATTTGACACACCTTATACTTATATTTTTATTTGCTAGTTGTAAATACTGGAAGTCCTGTTTCAGAACTATCCAGCTGATCAATGCATACAATGAAGTTTAACTGGAATAATTCAACACTGACATATTCAGTAGAGACAAGTCACCACTGTACAAAACAAACAGTTGACTAATGATATTAAAGTGGTGTTACAGAGTGAATATTAACTAGAGAACAGTGAGTTTTACTTTTTTTTCCACTTTTAATCAGCTACAGCTTATATAACCTGCTGCTTGAGAAGGTTAAACCAGCAAAAAATAGCAACTAGAAACTACATCGTTGAGTATCTTAATGTGATTATTTGTTGGTGTACACGTACAAACACAGTTTGAACAGCTGATTTGCTACACAGTTTTAATCTTTATCACATGTCAAAATACTGAAGTCCAAGTGAAGTCATGAGTCATTGGTGTGAAGCTAAAATCTTTAAATGAAATAATTTCTGATTCTATTTCTGGTCTGTAATTTATCATTCAATGTATTGACTTGAAGTAATTACCTACCTAAATAGAAGCAGTTTCATTGTTCCTGTTATTAGCAGAGCACCATCTCTGCACAGGATTCAAACATCAGGAAACGTGGTGTGAAATGTGAGGTCAAATCTAATCTCATGTCAGCAACTCAACCACTCTATCTGCGGCTGTCACCTGTGGCTGTGTTCTCCTGAAGTGTGGAGGCACCAGCTGAAGCGTGGAGCAGGGTGGGTGCTGAGCTGGGACCAGGCCCTGGGGTTGGAGCCACAGACATGGGAGCAGGCAGGGAGGCTTTCAGTGGGGAGGGGAGGGAAGCCTTCAGTGTAGCTGGTGGTTTCAGGGTGTTGTTGGATCTGCCAGGGTTACTGTCTGGGGTCTCCTCTCCTTTCATTGTTTTACTCTTCACACAGGAGGAGGAGCTGCCCTGAGCAGCTGGACACGCCACTAAGAGCAAACAGGAGGATGATGTACTGTCATACTTTTCTCTTTCACACTCAGACTGAGGCAAAGAAATCAAATCTGAAATATTAATGTAGAAGTAAAGAAGATTTGGCACACTGTAGTAGTGAGTACAAGGTATATCAACCGACTGTGTCACCACAGCTTTGAATCATTGACATATTTCATGAGCTGCATTTGCTCACATGTCTGACCAGTCCTAGTTTTTACCACAACAGGTACTTCATACTAATTAGTGATAGACGTTTCAGTCCAGCACATCAGGTATTCATACAATAAAATGTATCATGGGAAGAATGTTGAACATACAAACACACAAGATGGTAGGAAATGTTAGTCGGGACATTGGATGTGGATAAACAACAGCTCTTTCACAGAGAGAGCTGTTGGTGTGAAAGAAAAGCACACTGCTGCTGAACAACACATTCTGTATTAACTTTAATGGATGTCGCCCATCTCTGGTAAAATGGACTGTTTGTGTTAGTTTACACCCAGTTGGCCTTCCTCTTTATCATCTTCATCAGAATATCTCTAGTTAGCTCGTGCGGAACTGTCTCTGCCTCTGAGAAAAATATCATCTAATTTCTCTTCACTGCATATTGTATGGGGGCACAGCGCAACTTCAGCATTCATGTGTCCAATATATCCTAATATCTACTCCTTTTAGCTCCTCCCCATTAACTCCAGGGAAATATCCAGCTTCTCAGGTGCTAAATGTAAGCTAGTTCACTCACTTACTGTGTGTGATGACAGTTTGGAGCTGAGCAGGTACACCACAGTGAATTTATCAGACACAGCTGCTGCTGGAAACCAGGTTGATAAGAGTGACAGTAAATCAAAACAGTCAAGTTACAGGCTGTAAAACCAAAACAATGAGCTGAACAAGCAATAGCTTTCAAACAGTCATTACACAAAATAATTTGAGTCATTATCAATATAAAAATATTGATTAGTGCAAGTTAAAAATCTAAAAAAACAAGTCAAAATTTAACTTTCTGAACACCACTATAATTTGTAAGAAATTAAAAAAAAAAAATCAAGCACAGAAAAAAATATTACCATTTCCTACCCTGTCAGGATCGTGCTCTGACTAGTTCAGGAAAAAAACATATCAGAGAGCTCTCTATAATTTTTTATAGAAGACCATGTAAACGCAACTAAATCACATCTCACCTCTAAGAGGGAGGGAGTTGCTCAAATAGTAATAATCCTGCCAGCTAGAGGGTCTGAGGAAGCAAACCAGAGCAGCAGCTGTTAAAAGCACTGTGGGAATATTGTTGCTCTCTTGTAGGTAATAGCCTCTTTACGAATGAACTTCAATGAGTTTTGGTTAGCTGGAGTGCATTGCTCAAACTGAGTTTCAGGAAGTGGACAGATACACTGGAAAAAAAGCAAAAGCTGTGATGATGAATAAACGTTAGTTTGTGCGGTTGAAAAAGTTGATAAGAATATCATCTACCACCCAGCGAGTTCATATTTTCAACATTAATCCCATAACAAATTCCATGAGTTGCTGGCCGACTGAAATGTCCAGGTTTGGAAGACTACCAGCACCAGTTTTTAGATTATTACTTTACATGCTCTTTTTTGGGGGGGGGCTTTTAATGCCTTTATGATAGCACAGTAGAGAGAGAAATGGACAGGAAATGGGGGAGGCAGAGAAGGGAAAAAAGCCATGCAGTAAAGGGCCGTCCGATGCGGGATTTGAACCAGAGCCGACTGCAGCGAGGACTGTAGCCTCTACATATGGGGCGCCTGCTCAACCCACTGCGCCACCCAACGCCCCTACATACTCTTATTTTCTTTTTTTACTTATATTTTCCACTAAAAATCTAATTCTGCCACTTCCTCATGTTTGCTGGGAAACAAAAGTCCTAGAATCAAATTTGATGACAATATAAAAACCAGCAGCATTTAAAGGACAGCTTCAGACCAGTGACATGTCTCCAGAACTTCCAATGCTTTTATCCAAAGCGACTTACAAGTAAGGGACATCAATAAAAGACTTCCTTTACCTGTCCCCGGGCAGGACCCTCTCAGAGGGGCGTGGTCAGGGGCCTCCTCCAGGGTCATTGAGCGAATCACAGTCTCACAAACAAAGTGAGTCCCACTGATGTCATCCTCCCCTTCCTCCTGAGCTGGGACTCCACCCCCTTCAGCTTCAGAGACTGTCCCATGGGGGACCTCTGAGGACCAGTAACAAGACAACAAATGCTGACACACAGGTATAATTGTAACATCAGTTAAAAAAAGGTTCAGGTTAAATCCCGCTAAATGGGACATCTTTGCCACCTACTGTCGTAAATCTGTTCCTGCATCACAAAGCAAAGGAGTAATGGAAAAGGATTATGGGTAATCCTCAAAGCGATGGAAGATTTGCCATAAGGTAATGAGTCTTTGAGTGGTTGTGGACATAATAATGTTTATGAACTTGAAAAGTACATATAAATTGAGTTGGCTTGGTCAGGGTGAATATTATTTGTTTTATATAAAATTCGCCATGGTTTTATTAAGTTAACTATTATTTTTTTATGTGTTTTATTGCCGGTAAAAATCATCACATTAATGTGATGCTGTCTTTTCAGACAGAGCATGCGCTGTGTGTCCACAAGAGATGACCATTCCACTCTATTGTTCTGTCATAACTGCAGGTATGTTAGTGTCACTCTACAGTGTGTGATAATATTTTGTGTTTTATAATATAACAAAGTAACAATTATATTGTTGAAGTCCTAAAAAAGCGACGGAGGATTTGCCACAAGACAGAGCACTGCGCTGTGTGTCCACAAGAGATGACCATTCTATTCTGAATACTGATGAGGAATAAACCTGCTGTTACCACACACCTGACCAGCTCTGGCGAGTTCATTCAGACAGAAGACATCTCACAAAGGTCACATAATCACAGGTAAAACACCCAAGTGACAGGGAAACAAAGCAGATCTACTGTCGACTGTGTGAACTGAACAATCGACAATAAAGTGTTTCAGAAGTTTTCATTTGTAAAAAGAAAGTTTCTTTCAGACCAAGATGCTGGAGTTAATGCTTTTGTTTCATCTTATTTCTATGCATCACTGATTAATTGTAGATCCATGTAGGAGATCCCGGGGATCCATTAATAACATTCATTAATGATCGACTCTTTTATTACCAAATTAAAAACTATATAAAACTAATGTGTGATCTGGTACTCTGCTTTTGTCTATTCTATACGTTGGTTCCTTATGTGACCATCACATTTGAATCATTTTACCTCTCTACACATGGTATATTTATCTCTTTCTTTGGTACCACTTTACAATAAGGCTACCCTTATAAAGGATTTATAAATGGTTTATAATTAAGTAATTAATTTGGTTGTTAACGCTTTATAAATCATAAACAAACAGTTATAAACAAGTTATAACACAGTTTTCATATATTGATGCAGGTTCACTATTTGGCAACATCAAGTTAAGGCTTACTACTCATTATTCTTACTGATGAGTTATTACCATTTATAACTGGTAAAAGGAGCCTCATTGTAACTGATTAATAAATTATGATGTATTTTACATTTTATAATAAGGCTTCTTTTATGATTTATACATGTTTGTAACTACCTGAAATGCTAAAGTCCTAAAGAAGATATAAACCAGAAAAAAGCATCTCCATTTTAATATCCACTGTTTAAAACAATCTGATAGCATGAATTATAATATATATGAATTATAATTTATACAAATATGTGAAGAAGCAGCAGGTACAAACACTTGATGATGGAGAAAACAAAGAAAGCTCAGTAACTAATGAGATATGAGGCTGAACAGTACAGATACATGTGGGCTCACTATTTAGCAAGCAACAGGTCATTGTTGCCGTTTATATCTAATGTGTTATAAAAACTTATAAATGATTTATAAAGTGTTAACAAGCTAATTAATAAACTAGTTATAAACCATTCATAAATTCTTTATAAGTGTAGACTTACTGTAAAGTGGTACCCTTTCTTTTTTGGAAATAAAGCTATTTGATTTACTACTTTGTCAATCCTGGGTCCTCAGCTACAAAACATTCATTGGGAAAAGACATTGCAGAGTATATCTGTGGGTTGGTTGCAGACGTAGCATCGTTCAATCAGACCCTGGATGTGTGAGGCAGGAGGATCTTGACTAACTGTCCCCACACATCACTCTTGGTGTAACTGCATAGAACACTGCACAAATACAGGAACAGTTGTCCCTCTGCAGGAGCACAGACAAACACAAACACACCAATCTGTTGCCTCAGTGCATGCTGGGAGGCTTTCCTACACACCTGCTCCTGGGATGCTACAGTATCAACAAATCTCCACAAAGAACTTTAAAAAAGTAGGAATGGTAAACTCCATTACCCATGATACTATTGATGACTTCTGTCTCTTCCTGGATCAGACCCAAAGAGGGACTGCTCTTGTGCTGTAGGTGGCCATTTTGAGGAAGAGGGGACATGCAGGGAGTCATGTCTGAATGGGGGAAAAGACATAAACGGAAAATTTACTGAACTCAAGGCTGAAGTCGAAAAAACAAAGCAATCTCCTCTCTAACATCTTCTCTGCAACCTTAATGGAAAACATCATGAGGTCAAGAAAAGATGTGAAGGATAATTCTTAGGGACTTAGGAAAAGACAATCGCGGTGCAGATAGAATCTGACTGCACATAGGATTTTTTCTTTTTACTTATTTATAACACCTAACCATAAAAACAAATCAAACTGGACTGAAATGTTGAAATAAGATGATATGAAAGGAAACTATAAGTAGAGAAAGTTGAGCCATTCAAATTATAATTTAATAGAAACAAGGAGTTGAGCAAGGGACCAGAATAAATAAAATTCAGACACAAGTTTTGTTTCCTGTCATAGGTGCTTTTAACATTTCTATACATTTGTTAAGTAGAGAAAATTCAGTTTTAGTGCTTTACACAATGGGAGGGGATTTAGTGAAACAACATTTATGTATAGACTATAGTATTTTGTTATGATGACAATATTGTTAACTATAAATTCAATAAGCTTGTTCTTCATGATGATTGCTGACTGGAAGTAAAGATAATAAATCTATATTTATGGATTTAGGCTTCAGTAGATCAGACAAAGATTTCCATCAGTTCTGGATTTTGTCACAAGCATAAAACAGCGGCTCTGATGTTTCTACATGTATGTGGGTCTGCTGTGGTGAAACTACAATGGTATGTCCCTTAAATGTTGCTGTAGCAAGGAATTGTGGGACAGTATTTATCCTTTCCTTTCATAAAGGAAGGTCCAATGTTTCCTATGCTAAAGGAGATAAGATAGGAAGCATTGAAGCTCATTTCCTTATCAACCAACTCTGATCATGGCTGCTGCTCAGATACTTCCGGGTCATTTCACTCAGTTTGAACCTGTCCATTTACAAACGCTTTCATGAGAAAGAGGCAGAGTTGTTAATTATAAGGAACATCATCAGAACCAAGAATTAAGTACTTAATATGATATGAGAACAAACACCTGCTGGTATGTTTATGATCACATCCAAAAGTGATATTCCACAAGATGAAGTGTAAACAATATGATCACATGACTAGAATAAAAAAACATATTATTATTATTATTATGTCTAAATATAATTTCTATCAACATCTGACTAAGGATATATTGTAAATAAGTGCATGAATTATTATTAAGTTTTTTAATGAGTATTTTTCTCTTTTGTCTGATAATGAACAAACTGACTGTTTCTGCTGCAGAGAGGAGTGAAAGAAACGAGGAGAGAAGTAGTTGATGTCTGATGAGTCAGTCTGACTGAAATGTTCATTTCTAATCATGGACAATGGATCAATATTTAACAGTGTGTGGATCATTGTTTTTATTTCTTCTCATGTTATTCTGAGCTGCAGTGATGAAGAAGAGAGTAAAAGCTTCACCACTGTCAGTAATCCTGCTGGATTAAAGAATCTGTGTTCAGTTCAAATGAAGCTAGACTAGTTATGATATATTTATTTGGTGTGATAAACTCTCTGTGCCTTTTTTTGAAGCTTTGTTTTAAAACCATAGTGGACACATGGAAACACTCAAACAGAAAAACTATTCCACTGATTTATATAAATATCTACTGCTCGTTTTTATTGAACACTTTATTGTTAACTCTTTTGTCCCTGTAAGGATCCTATAGGAATGATGACTCAGTTTTTCCAGTGATTTGATTTGTCAGTAGTTTGGCTGTTGACAGGTTCTGATCTGATCCTCTGAAGTTAACCTGCACCGGAGCAGGTAAGGAGTTCAGCATAAGTTACCATGGTGATTTACCCTGCTAATGATTGAACCACCGTCATAGGACTGAAAACCCAGAGTTAAACCTGAAGTTACCTCGATAACCTCAAATCCTGCTTTGTAGTACAGACCTGAGGACAAGCCCTTAACCCGGTTTTGATATACCCGAATATGTTAGCTGGAGTATTCTGACAGAAATGGGATCCTGCTGTAAACATCTCATGGAGGTCTCTGAATGCTGCTGACTACCTGCATAGGCGTGGCTTCTACCAACTGATGGAAAAGAAACACAAACAATGGCATCAGAGAAAGTGCAATGTCACTTTTAGAGCAATGGGGGCATGGATTTTTTTCGATCGAATCAGGTCAACAGTCACAGTCAAATGAATCTAAGCTTAACGGTTACAAGACTATAAACATCACAGGTGCCTTAGTCAGTATTTATCATGTGTAGGGGAATATGCATAACCAGATTTCTCTGTGAGCCATTTTAACATCTTATCCTGCATATGAGCCTGGAACACTCATTTCCATGTTCAAACACACTCACCAACAACTGGCACCACTACAATTCTTCTTACCAGCAGGGGTGTTGTTTGGGACACTCTCCAACTCTTGGACGATGTTGATGTCCAGCAGCTCGAAAGATAGAAGATCCTGACAGATAAAAACAACAGAGCACTAAAGATGCTTTAGAGTTGCATTATTGGAAATGTAGGTGGTAGTGTTTTTGGGGTTTGGTACATGATAATTTTTTTTCCTGTTTCTCATGAGTTCCCAGACTTTAGAGAAATGCAGAGTTAATCACTGGAGTACAAGCTGAAGTAATTTATCAAGAAACAAGGAAAAACATTTTGTGGTTTCAGCTTCTCCAGTTTAACGATGTATCTCTATTTTATACTGTAAACTGAATATCTTCTGGTTGAGGACTGTTGGTTAGACAAAACAAGATGTTTGAAGGCGTCAACTTGTACTCCATTTTTCACTAAATCGTAGACTAAATGGTTTTTCAATTAATCATAAAAAGTGAGAAAGAAATTCAAGATGAGTCTTTAGAATTAAGAAAAAGAAAGGGCTTTTGATATGTATATATATTTTTTGATAATATTTAGCATATAACAAGAGATAAAAGCATTATTAACACAGTGTGATGACCCCTGGGGTCCACTTAGTTTGGTTGCCCCATACTAATCTGTCTGTCAGGTAGCTGATTGGTAGATCAGGAACACCTGTGGCGCCAGCTGTGTTCCAGGATATAAAACTAACCGCTCTCTGCACACCACATCTTGGCTTTGGTAATGCTGCCTTAGTTTATTCCTTATGTTTTCTTCTGCACCTCACACACCTGCACCAACATCCCTCACTCATGCACACCACACACTACTGACTTTACTGATTACCACACATGTAAAGATTTCATTTGGCACTTTGATGTGGTTTAGTAAAAATATCCTTCATTATCTGTTACTCATTGCGGACCCTGTATTAATGTTATTTTGCCACTTTCTGCATGTGCTTCACCATAAATTCCCTTTAATGTGAAGGCAAAAGGCTTGGCCTTTACTTTGAAACCGTGTAGAAATAAAATAAGGCTTCTGGCACAACTTCACCTACTTCCAATTTGCATGGAGAAAGGAAAAAGTCCAAAGAGGTCAAACCTCCAGCAACACTTGTAGTAAGTAGAATAACTTTTGACAAAAACGTTTCGACTTGTGGCCTTCAACGTGTCGGTCAGATAAAAGTTCTTTTGTTTACTATAAGTGTTACTGGAATTTCGACGTCTTTACTTTGAATCCAAAAGTGTCAGCTTTGACTTTTGTGACTAACTAATGTTGCCAAAATACTTCATATGCAGCAGTAGGTAGTGATAGACTTGTCAGGAGATCGGTTTGAAACTTTGCATGGATGGAATATATTTTATTACATAACAGCTTAATAAAGGAGAACAGCTCAGGAAAGATGGGCTGAGATTAAATGAATACCAGCCACAACAGCGTGGCTGAGCAGCCTCTGAACATAGTCCTCTGGCAGGTTTATAGGACTGTGGACAGACATATAAATATAAACACCTGTACCACATTTTATCATCACAACAGTGCAGGATGCAGTCACAAGACTTAATAGGTGAGCAGTTGAGATAAAAATGAAGGCTGAGTTAGAATACAGGTGACTATCACAATAAAGGCTTTTTTGCCTTTCGCTAGATGGTTTCTTGTTATTAATAATGAATTGTTGGCAACTGCAGTTAAAAAAAGAATACACTGATAAGGACAAACACATAGCCACGCACAATTGAAATGTTTGGGTCAAAAGATGTAGAAACAGTGATGCTTGTCTCGTCTGTCATGTGGACACATGGGAGGACAGTGAGTACAGCATCAGCTCTGATCATGGCTGCTCGTAGCAGCTAAGCAGTGTTTGTCAGGTCTGTAACTGAACACAACAGCAGTAATGTTACATGGATTACACAAGAATGTGATAGCATGTCTGTCCTGAGGTTGATGCATTGTAATGATGCAATTTCATAAACCTAATAAACAATATATCACATTTGCACAAGCCTAAAACACATGGTGTATGATATCTTCACTTTTACTTAAAATGCAATCTAATGTTACACCCTTATTTTGATTTATCTCAGATCTTAATCATTTCCACACAGAGATTTATAGATTTTACATTATGGAAAAAAGAGCACTGGTATCTGTTCAGTACTTGGTAGTGGTCAATACCTATTCAGGTACTGGAATCGGTGTAGGGGAGAAAAAGTTGGATTGGTGCATCCGTAGAAATAAACATTAGCTGCAGTTTAGTGTACAGCAGTGTAATGATTTCAGCTTTCATTACCTGTGCAGTGAGGAGGTCTACAGAGGGAATGTAGTACTCTTCTTGGTCCACGGACATTAAAGCTTGTTCCCTAGAACCTACACAGGCTTTTCCATCCTTTGCCAGTGGGTTCTTACCCTGCAGATAAAGACAAATCATTTCAGTCACATACACACCCATATCTACAGTATGTCTCTATGCATGTGTATAAATGTATCTATCTGTCTTGCCGGTGTTGCCAAGACAGGTAGGTGAACTTTATTATCTTGAACTTGAAAAACCACATCCACAACAAATTCCCAAGTTTATTGACTTCTAATTTTTTCTCTCACAGCATTACGCTAGAGATCCAGTATGGGGTCGGAATACTTTAAGCCCTGATTTCAGTTTATACAAATATTTATTTAATTTTTGGCACTGTTTAATTTCAGGTGGTTTCCTGTTTTTCCATCCACCTGTTTTATCTACCTGTGGCGTGACACAGGGTGACACCAGTATCCCATCAGCCAGCATAGGTGCAGGGGCCAGAGGGTCAACCACGATGCTGCACCACACCCTCGGTCCAAACTGCTCTCCAGCGTGGGCCAGACGCCAGTGGGAGGTGTAGGAGCCCTCCAAGGCAGGTGCACACAGAGCTATGCTCACTATACCAACCTGGAAACAACATCAATATCACAAGAAAGCAGTAATATCTTGTGCAATACAGTGCAAATATCACAACATTGATGTGCTGTGCTGACCATATGCTTGTGATTCAGTATGATCTAGGTGACAAATTCAGCATATTTTTCTAAAGATAAGCGAAAATGAAAACTTCCCCCATGTTGCCCTCTCACCTGTCCTGGCTGAAGGAAGGGAACAGACACTTCTCTCCAACGGTCCCCAGATCCCACTGCCAAGTTTCCCCACATGAATTTCAGCTGAAGGAAGCAAACAAAGCACAATATGATGCTCATGTATCTGTGGTGATTTATTTAACTACAATCTATACCCGACAATATTTACCTTTACGTTGGAAAAGGAAAAGTTTTTTCCTGCTAGTAGCACAACACAAAAAGTCAAGGGGATCACCACCAGTGTTTTCCTGTTTGTGATTTTCATGGACAAGGTTTTAAGGTGCCGCTGGTTAAAGAAATTCTAAAGACATTTTTAGCAGTGCATTAATAATCTTAGAAATCCAGCAGGCTACAGACATTGGGCAGATGGCTTTGATGAATGGATATTCATGGTCTCCAGAAGATGACTCTCAAACTGTGGTCAAAATTTCTCTATATTCTCAAAAGGTTTGAAATCTAATAGGCGCTCTTGTATAATCTCTACTTAACCTATTCATGCTTCTCAGAGGATGAACTCTTTACATCTTGGACACTCCATGAGATTTCCCCTTGTGGCACAATCAAGCCAGAACAGATATTTCTTAATCCAACTAGCAGTTTGCCATGAGGTCTACTCAACACACTAAGAATAGAACAGCACTTTTTATTTGAGTGACCCCATGAGAAAAGAGCAGATGACTAGCATAGAGGTCTTTACCTTAGTATCAGTGCTCCAGCTAGTACTTCCAGTGTTCCTCATTTTCCAGTATTTAATAAACTTGGTCCCAGGACGCAATCGGGTTCCATCAGGAAGGTTCTCGTCCAGAAATGCAGCCGTCATGGCTGGAACCACCAGGGGACAAGGACGTTTTGGACGCCTGGGTAAGAAATAAAGTCCATTTGTCCTGCATCCATCTTGAGTTGTTCTTTTAACAATCCTTTTTTTTTTTTTACTACCAAAGTTCAGGCAATGATCATATATCACCCATCCCACGAAATGTCATTTCATTTGTGCTCACACATCCCCACCACCATTTTAACCAGCTATGTATTTCAACCATTTACCCATGCAACTGTTTATCCATTACTTAAAGACAATTATTTTTACTGTGTATGCATTAATATTTGCTATGTATTTAACCATTTATCTACCTTTTGGTGTGCAAGTGTTATAGCTAACCCTGTATAAGGATAAAATTTTGTTTTTATTTTTCTTGAGTTACTTCACTCCTGTTGACTGCAGAACTACACCCTGGGGTACAAGCACCTTTGGGTGGGAATCAATGGCCTCCAATCTAACTAATAGGGAACCAGACCTGTTCAGTCCTATTCAGTCCTGCTCACATCTGGTATTAACATCTGTCACAGGTGATCTGGTCACAAGTGGTCAGCTCTAAGTTCAGGTGTGAACGTACCCAAGATGCACTGAGGACACATTTGAGATCCGATCACTCAGACCACATTCAGAGGTGGTCTGGTCCACATATGGCCACATTCCTTTAACAGTGTGAATGTAAATGTGTCATGTGCCACATTGAAGGACTAACTACTCATTTACATCCCCTATTATTTTAAATGGATAAAACCTTATTTCATTTCTCACAGAGCTGTGAGCAGAGCAATGATTCACTCAACCCCTCTGTGCCTCTCTCTCTCTCTGTCTCTCTCTTTCATTATCTCTCTCACTCACACATACACACACATGCACACATTGATGATGGACCCATCTGTCTGACTGGCTGAAAACAAAAACCTGTTTATTTGCATATAATAAAGATATAAAGTGAGAAGTGAGATCTGATCACAAGTGGTCACTGAGATTCATTTTAAAGCAGGTGTGAACTGATGAACTCAGAGCTGACCACTTGTGAACTGATCAATGAAGACACATGTTAATTGAGGTCTGAACAGGGCCTTACTCTGGGCTGTTGTGCTGGGTGGCCCGAGGCTGCAGTAGGACTGGGGAGGAGCTTCCATCTCTGTGGGAGGAGCTCCACTGTATGCCCCGCCTTTCCATCCTCAGCTGTTTGCGGATTTCTTTGACCTCAGCCTTCAGCAGACGTTTCTCTGCTTTCAGCCGCTGCTTCTCAGCTTTCCGGAAACTGCGGTCCCCTCGCCTGTAGAACCTGGAGGGAGGAACCGCACAACAATGGACAGTGATGAAAACGAAGACAGCAACATGAAGATGCACATACAGACCACTAACCAAACAGGTCTTCCAGGTATAGGCCAAACCCTCTGTATGAGGTGACACTTCCTAATAGAGATTAAAAAAGCTTTTGTATACTGATCTCTAATATTTTGTATAGTATTAGTACTGGGCACAAATATAGGGAAGAAATGTAAGCTAGGAGTCACACAGCCTCACTTCATTTCATGACTTGCATTACCCCAAAAAACAAATCATATCTGAAAATCTAGTGTGCATGCTGGTGCACTCATGGTCAACCTGTGAATTCAGTTGAACTGTTATTTGCTGTAGTAAAAAATGTTAAAAATGACATTTTTAGTATTTAGTTTTGTCCCACTAGCAGCATGGTTGAATAGCTGGCAATGATGGGTGATCAGTGTGTCCACCACCTTGGTTCAGATTTAACTGTCTCAACAACAACTGAATAGACTGACATAAAATTTGGTACAAATATTCAAGGTGGATAAATGTGAGATTACCGTGACCTTGACCTTTGAGCACCAAAATCTAACCAGTTGGTACTTAACTCCAACGTTTTCACCAAATTTGAAGAAATTCCCTCAAGGTGTTCTGGAGATTTTATGCTCACAAAGCCAAAATTGTGTGTTTTGAGGTCACCACGCCCCTTAATATCGACCTTTGACCCCCAAAATTTAATCACCTCATCCTTGAGTCTAAGTGAATGATTGTGCCAAATTTGAAGAAGTTTTGTTGCGGCGTTACTGAGATATCGTGTACAACAGAATGGGACGTTTGTCCTTATGGATGGACAGACATCCTGAAACCAATATGTCCCTCGGCATAAAAACTGCCAAATGTCAGTCAAGTGTTTGATAAACACGAGACATCACAGAATTTGTCTAATTGGCTGATCTGAATCAGCTCTGTCTGTCCATCTGCACTCAGAGGTTGTCATGGTGATCATCAGTGCTCAACTCCTAATGAGTGAGACCTGGACTCAGCTAAGACACACCTCTCAACCTGACACTTGCCAATCAAAGACTATTAAATCCTATCAGCTAAAGCCTTGTGTTTTCTGAGAAAGGCAGTGATATAATGTACTTGTCTGTGGAGTCAAAAGTAGCTCCAAAGTAATCTACCAATTAGAATATAGGTAACGTGGAGTCAGTGACAAACTGAAATTAACTGCCGAATGCTTCCTGATTACAACTGAACTGAAACATATTTCCAGTTAAAACCGTTTAGAGGTGTGTAAATCATTGTCTGTATTTAGTGTTTGAGCAGTCTGTAGCGAGATTTTGACAGAAATGTTAGTAAAGTGGTTGATAAACACTCCAGAATTTGTACTGCAGTCTATAGGACAGTTTGAGGGTACTCCCATCAGTTTAAGCCTGACAGTTTAAATTCTGTTAGTCTCTGTGCTAAGGCAGTCACTTTATATGAAACAGGACAAATTTGTCGACTAATGAGGAAGAAATGATGTGTCAACATTGAAATATGTGGCCTTAAGGACAAGTTACACAGATTTTTTTTTCAGACAAATTGTAGAGCTTCTTCCACTCTAGCCATGATGATAATGATGATCTGAAAAAAGCATGAAACTAAAACTGTGATAATTCTCTGTACAAGATATCAAAAAGTTGAATATTAGTTTAATAGGTGAATGTCTTGTGAACATTTTTTTTTTAAGTATATTTTTTTGGGCTTTTGTGCCTTTATTGGACAGGATAGTAGAGAGAGACAGGAAATGGGGAGGCAGAGAGAGGGGGAATGACATGCAGTAAAGGGCCGTCCGATGTGGGATTCAAACCGGGGCCTGCTGCAGCGAGGACTGTAGCCTCTACATATGAGGCGCCTGCCCAACCCACTGCGCCACTTGACGCCCTGTCTTGTGAACATTTTAAAGTTTGAATCAAGTCTGTAGCTGAAAGTATGCTGAAGTAGTTGAAACTCAAAGAGGCTGAAGCTTTCAAGGATTTGAACATTCTCTCCATTCATTTGAATGGCAAAAAAAATCACAGAAAAAGCTTAATATTTTGAAAATTATAAATAGTAGAATAAAGTTTTATACATCCAATAATCTACAGAACAAGCTGAACATTTATAAATCTATCAAATATTTTATCAAATAGTTGATGATCTAAACAATCTTCCTCCAGAAACTCTAAATTACATCCTGGCATGATCAGTAATCCCGGATTGAGGAAACATCTTCATAAACACTTCAATTCTCAGGCAGCAGCAGACGACTTTATGATTTTATGAGAGTATTTATCAGCTACAAGCACAAAAGATATTAAAAAGTTCTGTCTACTAATGAACAAACAACACATGAAGTAATCCATCACATGTTCGTGACTGATTTCACTGTGCGCCGTAAAAAATAATAATCACAAAATAACACTGGTTAATGTGCTTATCCTCCCAAAGTCAGACAGTAACCAGCTGTTGGGATAGGTATCATTTGAACTGATTGTGTTGGTTTGTTTCAGCTTTCAGCAAGATTCATAGTGAAGTAAGATAATCAGTTACAGACAGCTTTCGTTGTAGTGTTTCCTAACAGTTTGTTATTATCCTAACCAGCGCGGTGTTATTGTGTAAAAGACACCTGGAGTTGGTGGGGGAAACAGATGAAAATATCTCTTTTCTGTTTGTTGTTTGTTGAACAGGTAATGGATAAAGTTTTTATTCTCATTCTCATTTTCAAATGTAACGCAGTAACATGTTTCCTCAGAAACATTTTAACTGACTTACTTTGTTCTTCTATCTGAGAACATTTTTACACAGTGATTTACGTCTACTGACGTCTTTTCACTAATAGTAGTGACACTGACATGTGTTGACATGCTGATGTCAGTGTGGTGTCATATCTCCAGTCAGTTTCTGTTACTGGTAGAGTTTATTGCTGCTCTGTCTGAGCACAGTTAATGTTACTTTCTTCATCACAGTGTCTAATTACCTGCTGTACATTTAAACTTACACTAGTTCTACTCCAGCACTCAGAGCTCTCTGCTCCTTTTAATGACTTTCACAAACTCAGCACTTGTTTACATGCTGTTCCGATCTGCTAGTTACTTTAGTTAAGCAGTTAGCACTAGCTTCTCTCTCTTTCCCTCTCTCTCACTTGCTCGGTGTGGTGTTGTTGTAACTTCAGTGTAGAGGATTGTGATGTTTATTACATTCTTCAGCGATGTCTGCTGTCTTACTTTAGGCACAGCTCTGCTCGCTAACCAGAGTTAACTGCGAAATCTAACTGATATCTCTGAAATGTTTCCTCAAAAAAAGTCAGACAAACTCTATTTAAACCCCACAATTTCCAACCTTCATTGACTATTTTTTTATTGAAAATGTAGAGATTCGAGGGGGGTCACGTGGGACCGCAGGGAAGATGGCGGCGCAGTAGGAGAGCTCCCCACGACCATCAGTTAATTATATACATTTTGAGACAAACACTTCGTTCTTAGTCTGAAAATTGAGGCCCTGTGTTAAAGACAAGAATTAATTTCGGTTTCCGACCAAAAATTTGTACTTCCCCGGCGAAATGTCGAACAACATCAAAGCTAACTTTTTCAAAGGTGCGGCGACGAGAAGTAAGCTAGCCTCAAAGACCAGCCCAACACCTGAACACACCTCCACGTCGCCAACACCGGCATGTGACAGCGACCCTAAACCTGGAGGAGTGATTGACAATAAAACAATGTTTGAGGAAATACGGAAAATGAGTGCCACTCTTCAGGTGGTGGCGACGGATGTTGTCGCAATTAAGGAGACAACGAAAGAGCTTAAAGATACGGTGGAGAACATACAAGTGAGGCTGGGAGAGGCGGAACAACGCATATCAGACGTGGAAGACGTAAACGCACGAATGGAGTAAAGTATGGAGAAATGTGACAAGAGACTGGAAACATTGTGGATGTGTGTGGAAGACCTGGAAAACCGCAGCAGGAGAAATAATGTAAGAGTGGTGGGATTGAAAGAGGACAAGGAGGAGACGGGCAAAGTTATTCAGTATGTGGAAAAGATCATTTCTCAGGGGCTCGGGCTATCTGGCAGTGAGTTTGAAATTGAACGTGCCCACCACTCTTTGGCACCCATGCCGGGCCCGAATCAACCGCCCAGGACCATACTGATGCGCTTCCTACGTTCATCGGCCCGAGACAAGGTGCTGCAGGTGGCTAAGGAGAGACGTGGGATCGACTGGGAGGACTGTAAGCTGTCCTTCTATGAGGATGTGTCCAGAGAATTGGCGGAGAAAAGGAAAGCATTCACTTCAGTGAAGAGACGTCTGCATGAGCTAAATGTGAGACACAGGCTGGTCTATCCTGCGACGCTCATCTTCACATGGAAAGGGCAGAAGAAAACTTTTCGAGACAGCAAGGACGCGGAGAAGTTTGTGCGAGATGCTGAATAGAGGACCAGGGGACTTTATGAAACCAGACGAAGTGTGTGTGAATCTGTGGGAATAAGGTAACGTTGATGATGGTTTGTGGGAGGCAGGAAGAGCTGTGCTGTCATGAGCTGACAGGATGCGCCTCACGGACACGGTTAATTTAGTTCAGGTTAGTCAGGGGCGGGGTGAGGGTTAGTTAGAAGGGTTGTTCTAGTTGTGGGTTGCTTTAACCGGGGTTATGTTTGTGTTTTTTATGTTTTATCGGTGCACTAAGACAGTATGTCTGAGAAGGCTTAACGTTTTGAACAGCCTCTTGAATATGTGTTTAGTTATTATTGAAACCATGATGAGAGAACTGAGATCAAAGAGTATTTACATGTCTAGAAATGATGGCTAACAGGTACATTAATATAATATCGTGGAACATAAATGGATGTGGCAACCCCATTAAAAGGAGGAAGGTTTTGACATATTTGAAATCTAAAAATACAGATATAGCATTTATTCAGGAGTCTCATATAATGGGAGATGAAGAGGCAGGGAAATTTAAAAGAGGCTGGGTAGGGAAGATTTTTCATAGCTCA